CGGCTTTGCCGGCAGGACCCGCTCCCTTGTGGGTCTGGGAAGCTGCAACAGGCTCTAACGTTTGATTTGCTGCGGACGGTGGGCTGGAGTCTACCCTAGAACGGCGCTGCGATCCCCCTCCGTCTGGGCATCCTTCGTGAAAATCACTGCATCCTATGAGAAAAACCCTGACTCTTCCCAGCGCCATCTATATTCCCTAAGAGCAGAAACGAAGCATTTCAAAAGGACTCGAGTCTGAAACAGCTGGAAGGCGTTTTCTGCCCTAAGCCTCCGTTTGGAAACGTGTCCAGTTTCAAGGCCAAAGTCAGAAATCCGTCTCTCTCGACCAAATCCCTCTGGCTCTACCTGTGACATCCAAACTGCAGAATAAAACATGGAGCCAACAGACTGCTGCTGCTAACAGCCGAGATCCAAGACAGGAAAAACCAGCCACAGCCACCCCAAGTTTGGAATACTGTCATTTTTTGACAGAAACAGCTTCAAGTTCAAACCAACAGAATCGAAAGCGTTTAATTCGAACAACGAAAGAGGGGCAGCGTCAGGCAGCTGTGACTTTCATCTACCGTCTCCTGGTAAGTGAATGCAAGTAGCAGCCACTATCATACCCTGGTCCCTGGGGGCTGAGTTTTCCCTGTGCATTTCAAGAAACATCAATTCCGAAGACACCGAATTTTGTTGCTGAAGGAGCAACGGCGTGAGTGAGCAAAGAGAGAAGAGGAGAGCCCGCCGGGACGCGTTAATCCTAACTGCCAAACTAAGGATTCCTGAGATTTTGGGCAAGCCATCGTCATATCAAAGCTACAACTCTGGGCTCAATACCATCCACTGAAAGTCAGACACAGAAAAACACTCTGTCATCAGGTGCTTTAGGAACTACCAGGAGGCCCTTGAGCTCCTCTCCGAGGGTCACCTCCAGCATCTGTAGGGACTTTCATTTCCTTACAAGGTTGATGTCCACTACATAATACAGGCTGCAGACCTACAGCTCAAGTTTAACCCTATTATTCCAGGGCATCGATTACATCTCGGCTCATAATCGTTTCCCCAAAATAAAATACTTCTTTCCCCCTGGAGTAAAGTGATGTCAGAAAAACAGCGTACTCACAATGAGTCAACATTTTACTGCTGAACACAGCAGAACGTGTTTGCCCACAGATCTGAAAAGAAAACTCTTCCAGAAGAACTTACTTTTCAGGCACTACCATTTTATTAAGAGGAAAGTTAAGCTGAATACAAAATACTTTCTCACAAAGAGAGAAAGGTAAAAAAGATACAGCCAAAACGAGGCAACACTGATTATGGGTTACAATGAAAGTGCCGGTAATGTCATACGTGCACGATGGGAAGCTCTGGTCCTTTCTGACCCAAACAGCGAAAATGGCACTGAACCGAGCAAATTGCAATCCGTGCAGCAGAAGAGCTAACGCGGGTAGGAAAACCCCGGGTACAGCACAATAGCATCAGAGGAGAAGGGACATGCATCTGGGACCTTCCACATACTGCTGTTGTAAAGGAAGTCTTCCCTTTCCTACCTATTTTCACCTGTTGGCCCACCTATCACCTTTCAGTGGCAAACAGAAAGAAGGTATCTCATTCCCTTTTACCAGATATCAAAATGTAAGTTTTGACAGTAAGACTGCAAGAAGCTGCATTTCCAGTGTCCTTGGGGAAGATGCTACTTTGCCTGGGGGGTGGTGGTGGAAATAAGTCAATCTATACAGGCTCATTCTTTCTTTTAGAAGTCAAAGGAAAGACTGCTAGCAGTGTCCTCTGCTCAGCCAGCTACATTCTTCTTTGCCTGAATACGGTCCTGCCTGGGGCCACAAGCTCTTTCTATACACATTTTTTCCCTGCTCTGTGACCTGCTCCCTGTACCGCACTCCCACACCACTTCAAAACTTGCATGACAAACAAAAACTGCCTATCCTGAGTTATCTAACGATCATCAGAAGACATCTCACCTGGGAGATTCAAGAGCAGCTTTGACAATTACTCCCTGCGCTGCAGTATCATGCGGAGGGTTTACCTTAATACACAACTTAGTGCAGTGACAAACAGCAAATCTACCCTTCCCCACACCAGGGGAACTCAGTGGGGAAGCACCTTCCAAAAGAAAACACCTGAAGCTTAGTTAACGTCTCCTGAACTAGAAGTCCTAGGGAAACCACGGTTCCGTACCACGTACAGAACTCTTACAGGTAGCCCCACATGCCCCAAGGCTACTCTCTCCCCTGTCTACCCACACTATTACTCTATGTTCAACAGCAAATGCACATCAATTTGAATCTCACCACAGTTTTCAGAAATGTATGCATATCTGCACTGATTTAAGATAAACATTGCTCATGTTCTAGCAATCCAAATAAACCATCAAGCATAGTTATAATTACTGCATAACGACAAGATGAATAATTATACAGAACACCTCTGGATTCACAACTTCAATCTATTCACTGGGTTATTGGAAAAAGGCTTTGTTCTTCAGCATGTAACTACAGTAGAACTGAAACTTCCTGTTCTAATGAGCCAACTGTGTATTAGGACCCCAAAACACTGCTTACAGACAACATGCTGCCCAAAGAACCTGCCACTGTTGATCAGCGTTTCAGATACTAAAAAACAAAACACCAGAAAAAGTAAAAAAGCCCATGACAAAACAGGAGGGAAAGCAAAGCACAACGCTGCTCACAGTGCACTACCTAAGGCCAAGGAGCATTCAGAACCACCTATTTAGCTCAAACACCTCACAGCACGTTTGGTGGGCAGAACTGCACGCGCCTCCGTTAGCGTACACACTGACGAAGGAGCATACAATCGCTCCAACCACTTTTTAACCATTCACAGCACGTGGACAAGTTCTGATAACTATTTTCACATCCCTTTATATTCTACTGGTAAGCTCGATGACTTCATAAATAACCATGAAAACTGACACTCGACCGTAGCATATTTCTCATGACTCATCCTGGGCCCATTTGTTAAAAAGCATGACTCCTGCTGTGCAGCAAGAGTTGGGCCAACAAGAGGTGCATTCTATCACTTGGGCAGAACAGCAAAATCCAGCCTGAATCATCAGTGTAACCTCCTGCTGTGCTGCCAGTACTTGCTATTAAGTTATGTATTGCCTGTCACCTCAGCAGTTTGTAACTACTGAAGAAGTACGATAGCAACCAAGAAGAATTCAGACTGAAGAGAGGTTTAGTTTTATACTGGAGATTTGTCACAGCTGTCTGGGTGAAGAGAATATATCTACTGGACATGTACAGTACCTGGTCGTGGTGAATTCAGTTCAGCAAACCTCTTTAGAATATTGCTAACCATCATTGGAGCAGCAACAGAAGAGTTCTGCTGCCTGGGAATGTCAGCTTGTTGCGTTGTACCCGAAGCCATATCATAAATAATTGGGACAATAATACTAACAGCTTCCTGGGGGACTGTTGTTTTCTGTGTTAGCTGGAGCTGCGGGAAAAAAAAAACCAAATCAAAAAGTGCGTTAAATGGAACGACCGTGTACTTCAGAGCAACTCCCGATACACTTAAGTGCTCTAGGCCCACAGACAGCATGCATTTCCACCCCCTCAGTTTTCAGACATCAACCCTGTCACAGAGAAGTTATCAGTCAGGAGCAGACTGTTTCCCTCTCAAAAGCACCCTACAGTGAGCACTGCCTCAGAGACGACACTAACAGAGGATTGTTCTAAACATCTAATGGCTGCTGTCCTTTCCCAGCACCACTCAGGTGCGTATCACGTCATCTAGGTGGCTACTGCCTCGGAGGTGAACAAAACATCCACAAGCTGAGCACTCAAAGACACCCGCAGCCCAGAAGGAACTTTATATACTGTCAACATCTCTCCGAGAAGACAAAACATGAAGAGCTGCTGTGCTTTTGTAGGAGGGAGAATAGGGATATTTAACTGAACCCATTACAGGTTACGCAAATCCAGGCTTCCAAACGGCAGAACATTTTTAGCCGTTACAGTTGTCAGATACGGCACGATTATGTTTTGCTACCAACCCGTGATGGTTCCAAAGACATGCAGCCCACAAAATTTTAAAACACAGATAGCTCTACTTACAAAAAACAACATTTTGGATTTCAGCACAACAGCAGGTGTTCCTGGAGGCGCAATTGGTGGAGCACTGGGAGGAATTGTTAAACAAAACTGCACGTTCCATTTCAGCTGACTCGCCTGATCAGGGAACTGTTTAGAAAGAGCAGCACAGGGAAAGAACACTCAAGGTCTCACGTCAGTGACACACACGGCTATGAACCAGAGAAGTGTTAGAAAGCAGAACGCGCCTCTCTAGCTAAACTTGCAGATGTTGCCAGGTTTAGCATGAGGCAGAGTTACTCCGAAAGAATTGAGCATAGGGTGACCAAGAACACAATCATGAAGATTCCAGAGACTATGCACGTGCCTATTGTGCAGTAACATGCCTGCGGTTTCCCGAAACCATCAGTGCAAAGGAGAAATTCTGGGAGTTTCCAGGAGAGGTAGTAATAATAAAGAAGTTGTCATTTTAAGACTCAACAACGTATATGTACGTTTAAAGTAATTTATGTGTTTATAGGTAAAGATACAGCACCCTTTTTTTTTTTTAAACATAATAAGTGAAGTTGGGTGAACTAAAGAGAACGGTTAACTTACCAGCTCAAGTTTCATGATGTGTACGCAGTCCCTGAGGATATGCGTCGGAGCCCCTAGTAATTTTGTGAAGGCTATTAGGGTGTTGGCTTTAAAAGGTGGTCCTGCAACCTAAAGAAAGACACTCTTTAGTCGTGCCCATTTAGATTACAGCTGTATCGTTTAATATGGTAACCAGCATGCACAGCTGCTAATTTCTATTTTGCAGCCCTTACACATGACAATGCAAGTCAGCAGCACCACTCAAAACACCACCAGAGATTAAAAGCAACGCACAAAAAGCTAAACGTTAACGATTTGAGTACATACCCTTGTTTCAAAGAACTTCTCCAAAACTTGTAACTCCTCGGATTTCCACTGGCCTGTATTTTCAGGTGTTACTTTCAGTTGCAAGGTCTGGTTGGTTTTGGGATTGAGAGCAACCCTGCACTTCAGTGCCTCCGTCTTAAACATAATTACACCTGGTTCATTGGAGTTTATTAACTGTAGCTGCATAAAAAGAAACAATCACATCCAATCAGTTATTCGTTAGACAGCATGAACACAGACATGTTCACTCCCCAGACCGTAGTGAGCAACCTGCCCTCTTCCCAGAAAGAAACACGTGGTATCTGTATACAGGTAAAATTGCCTCGAGAAGGAAGCTTATGCAAGATTTGGCTTCTTTCTCTGCCACTGAATCAACACCAAAAAGAGGCGCACGTAGCCTGTCCCGACCCCTAAAACAACATTTATGACTGAGCAGCTCAGTTACTGTCACCTAGTATCTGAAGTGCTTGGGCACTCCTGCCAAGTAGCAGCACCCACAGCAACCCTCTGGCTGTTCTGGTTAACTCCCAAGGGACACGCTGAACTCGCAGCAGCCACGGCATCTGACCATCCGGTCACAGTCTTGCCATCCTAACAGTTATCAAATTTCACCTGACCAAACAGGCTTTCCACTTTCAATTCATGTCGAAAAGCAGCAGAACTACATGCTAGTTTCTAAACTTTCACAGTTTACACAGCAAGATTCAGAAGTATGGCACAAGCCCAACCACCAATACCTACTATATCTGAACCATTTCAAGCGTGTGCCTGATTTGAAAGGCGTGGAGTACAGAAGCACAGAAAAGAGCAATTGTGAAGCCATAGTCATGGGTCAATATTAAAACCACCTAAACCATACCGTTTCCTGTTGTATGATCCTCTGAAGATGCCTCCTCATAATAACCGATCCAAGGAATCGCTCAAGAGGGGAGCACAGATAGCTGCCAGCTAGTCCCGGCACAAGCCCAGGGGTAGGAGAGGGCAACAGAAGAATATTCAAGGCACTGTGGGTGAGGATTGTAGGTATGGATGCCGCCCAAGAGCGCTGAGGTAGTTTACGAGGTGGAGGCATGCTAGTCGGCATGGCTTGGGAACCTATTGATACGGAAAAAGTACTTGCAGTGAGGAAGGATTTAAGCTGGAATGCAAGACACGTGTTCACTTTATTTGTTGTCACTATACAAGCAATGAGTTCTCTGGGCCGATGCTTAATCCCTTTTTATTTAAGAACTTGGCTTCCTAGTGATAGGTAATGGACAGACAAAGTCAAAGAAATAGTGTGTCGACCCTCCACCCATGCAGAGTCCCAGTAACATGAAAATCCTACTCCCTTTTCCTCTTTCTGCAGCATGCCAGCAGATAGCGGGTTTGTACAACAAACTCAATGAGGTGGCTAAATCACTCGTGCAAGAGCAGCATTACAACTCTGTGACGTGAAAAGTCAGTATTTGGGTGGGCAAGTATGCCCATCATCGCTTTCATTCCAAAGAATTTTACTCTCAGTTACAGAGCTTAGTAGTTTAAGGCTAATTCCTGCAGGGCAACAAGAGGTATCCATCCTGTTAAAGTTTATGCTGTATGAGTTAACTCGCTTTCCAATTCATTATAGATGATTTGAACTAGGACAGAACAAAGGTGTCGTTTCCTTAGTTATTTTACTGCACAAGGGTAGTAAGGACTGTTAGGCTGACACACAAAACTACCAGAAAGAACAGAACCTGAAATGTTAAACATGAGTGTTTCAGAGTCATAACACTGAAAAAGAAGCCTACTTGTTCCAGCTCGTGGGGAGTGAGAGGCATCTGGGACAGGTGAATGAAGGGAAGGGTTGGCTGGTGACATTCCAGGCATCCGTGCTGCTGGTGATGGACCAGAGACCTGGGGAGATCCTGGCCAGTTCCCTGCACGCTGACTGGGTGACATCATGGTGTATGGTGAGCTCGGGTCTATAGTACCTACAGATGTTACAAGGCCGTTATTATTTGTTAAAAAAGTACAAGGTTTTCTACCCTAGAAACCTAAAAAAGGCTTACCAAAATCTGTAAAGCACAGAAGTGTCTGCAAGCTTTTACACTACGTTTTACAACAGGAAGGAAAAAACCCAAACACTTAAGGGGGAGGAGAGGGGGAAATCAAGATACAGATTCAAGGGTTTTCTGGTTCTGTTTTTTAAAAGGTAAAATCGAATTGAACGTTAAGGCCAACTGGCACGTTCAACACATCACGGGGTCTAAACTAGAAAGAGCTCTTGGTTACAGACTTGGACTTCTGCTCCTCAGCAAGTGAAAGCCTCAGCTAGACTGTTCCTTGCCTACGCAGTACCCTGCGGTTCTCTGCAGAAGTACCTTTGGCTTTGTACTTCGCTACAGGGGCTGAGCAGAACAAACCTCTCAAACAGCCTGTTGTACACCTGTCTCGCCTTGTTCATCCCGACAGTTAACCTGGTGTGCTAAAATGACAATCAGAACCGTTCCTTTCTTGTGCTCTATGGAACGGTTTCCAGCGCGCTGCGAGTACAACAAACAATTGTTTGGGCAGCTTCCCAAAGAAACTTAAGAAAGGAAACAGCTGAAAGGCATGGCGCTCCCGTGTAGGTCTGTCAAATCGGCACGGCTTCGACAACGCTTTCCAACCACAAGTATTTGCATTTCTAGCCTGTTCCAGTTATTTTTCCAGGAATCCTAAGCAGTGAAAATACATTCAACTACTCTAACAAGACAATGCTCATTAAAAGCTGCAGCCACTGTTCCGCTACAAGACCACACTGAGTTTTGAGTGACCGACAGTCAGTTTTTTAAAAACGTTAGCAACACCTCAACGTGCCATGCAGCTACTTCGGACTGCTGTTAAGAGTTACACCCACGTGTACGAAAACAGCTACTTCAGCCAATTACAAATCACACAATTTTTCTCAATCGCTTTAGGTCCGTTCCGGAAGACTTAATTTCAAGAAACAAACGTGATCTCCCTGTCACGGTATACATACACCTGGCAGTCAAGAACTCACCATGTGGGCTGGCAAAGTTAGCTGTTTGTCCCATTGTGATTCCAAGAGAGGAAGGCGAAGGAGTTGGACCAAAGGATGCAGGTGATGGTGCTCTTAAAGCTCCGCTAGGTGAGCTGGCAGCATGCAGATTCCCTAAGTGAAGACACCATGTCACTCAACACACACCCTTCCCATTTTTCTGTGACAGTTGTTTTCTGCCAACTGCTACAGCTATCTCCTTTTTAGGGAGACAGCAGATAGGATGCACAAAAATTTGGTTTTGCTTTATGGCAAAGGCTTTATTTTGTACATGCGTGAGTGTTATATTTTCCAGCTTGATTCACCACACAAAGGAGACTTTCCAAGATATTTGGCTTGAAGAATGGCATTTCCACCCCCTGCACAGCCCTTCCTCAAATTTAAATATTTTCGGCTGTTGCGCTGTAACAGCTGGGAGCAGAAAGCAGAGTTTTGGTGGTGAAAAGCTCTTCTGAAGTAACAAATATTTAAAATGAACAGGGTTGGAGCTGAGCAAGCTGTAAACTGTATGAATGAAACGATCCCAAATATTACATAGCTAAAATCAACAGTTTCACTGAATTTTGTTTCTAGTTTCAAAACGTCCTTTGCAAAACATGCATGGCAGGACTTCGCCCTGCTATTTTTCCACAATACAAGGTGCATTCTCTTGGCTAACCTGGAGCTAAACACAGTTCAAACAACAGAAAAAGCACGTGGGTGCAAAGAGCTGCCTGTGTATTTCCAGCACATGGTTAGCACACCGACTCCCAGCCATCCTACCTGGTGACTGCGTGTGCATCATAGACGGAGATGGTGTCACCGTGTTGTGATAGGAGGTGGGTGGTGACGTGAGAGGATATGCTCCCGAGGCTCCTGCCTGTTTTGCAAATGCCTGAAATTGTCAACACAGGACAGTGAAAAAATTCTGTAATTCTGTACTCAAACTGCAGTTAAGTATGTGCAGGAGGATACTAGTGAGAGTTTGGTCCCCACCTATGAAGTCTTATCGGTCCATCAACACAGTTGCTTCATTCTCCGTATCACCTTGTTCGGCGCTATTTTGTTCAGTGACCTTTTGCACTTTCTCCTCCAGATCTAATACCTCTGCAGCTCATTCCTTTTTATCAACCACCCTGTAACAGTGAAGCCTCCTGACTTCCCCTCCCATCTTTTATCTTAAGCAGTCATTTTCCCTCCCTGAGTCCTTTGCTCCTAAGGAAGGCAGCAAGGCTCACGTGACCTTCCAAAGCTGCTGTTCACGTGCCGTGGGCTGTTTACACTGGCACGAGAAATAGCAAAATAAATTAATATGTTTTGCCCCCGGGGGAATTCCACAGCAGAGCAGTTTTATAGCCTCCCTTGCCATTTTTCACTGCTAATCCTTTCAGAATGTAAGTTCTTAGAAACCTACGATTGCGGAAGACTATTAACAACCATTTCTGATTTTCCCTGGAGGGTACCTGTTGTGGTTGCTGCGGTGGCTGCTGGGGTTGAAGCTGCGATATCAAAGAATCCATCATGTCTCCACCAATAGGAGAAGGTGGGTTGTCGTCTTCATTTACGGATCGTCTTCGTGCATCCTGATTGCTGTCAACAAACATGTTCAGGAATGTCTGTGGAAAAATCAAGTTTTGTTAGCCATTTCCCCATTTAAATTTAAACACAGTAAAACATAAACAAGGATGGTATTTGCTGAGCTTTAACGTTATCAGCTACAGCACATAAGAAACAGGCAACTCTCTAGAATTAATCACAATTGGGCATTCGTTATACACAGTATGAATAGCTTGCAAAATACATCAATTCATGAAGAGAGCTTCTCAGTGGATACTTAAACTTAATTCCCTTTTTCTTTTAAAGAAGGGGTCTTGCATCGTCACCAAACAAGTAACATTGCTGTGGAGAAGGTCACCTGAGCTTTCTTACCCAAACAGGGCAGTTGTAGGTGTGATACAACAGCCCAGTAGATTCTGGATACTGATGAGTTATTCAGGAAGAGCTATTTCCAGGTGTAGGCTTTTCCTTATTTTTAAGGAAAAAATTAAAATGTTGGTATTTCAATTAACTACAGATACTTCATGTTAATGAGCAGTCTCTTGCACCCAGAGGAATTTGCCCACCCTCCTGAATTACTGCCTTCTCTGCCTTCCCAACTTCATCCTCTTGTACTTTCTACTGGTACCTACAATCCCTTTCCTCTTCCCATTAGCCTTCCACTTGGAACCTGTGACAGAGGTACATGTTTAGAATCAGCTACATGCAGCAGCAGAGAATCAGTGTTCAGTTGTGACTGCAGAAGGGAAAAATTAATGATCTATCCTGTTTCAAAATGGGTGCCACTTTCCAATATTTCAGTATAACTAGCACTGGTACAAGCTGCCCTCAGCTAAGATATCCTGTCAGACTGTTCACATATTCATTTTTCAGGAAGAACAAACCAGCACCGTATTCAGAAGCGAAACCACAGGCTCCTACCACACACTGATGGAAACCATTTTAAAAGAGAAGTTTCTGTCTAGAATCACCTGACACGGAGCATTTCCTCATCTGCAACGTATGAGCACTGTCCTGACACACAACAGAGTTTGTGAGGAGCAGTTGCTGTTAATCCTGGGGAATACATCTAGCCTAGTCCCAAAGCTTCTGCAAGTTTTAAAAAAAGGATGCCTGAAGTAGCCTCTATGTTACTTTATTACATAGATAACAAAACCTGACACTTGATGCTAGTTTTGTTAAAAGGGAATGTTTAATTAAAACTAATTAACACATCTGCTGATAGATCAGAATATTCTGTGTTCAGAATTTTAGAAGGGCTGTGGCTCTTCACAAAAAAGGCTTTGCAAAGCTCTTCACGTCAGATCCACACTTTGAGTTAGAAGCTCATTTATTTACAGTGTGCCAGAAAACAGAGGAACAGTCACCTTTAATCCAGGTGCAGGGTAAAAACCTTCTACTATTTTGCTGTTGTCAAAAAGACTGTACGCCCCGTCGCGTATCGCTACGACGCCACGACTCCGGCAGTAGATGTCGATGCAGTACATATTCCTGAAGGCCAGCCTGATGTGCGTGGGTGACTGCGGCAGAATTGAGAAGCACTGATAGGCAGTGTTGGTGCGTTGAGTCAGACCCAGCATGGGCACTGTTGGAAGTTTGTTGATGGCATTTAATGGAGCCTGAGTGTCAAACAAAACCTGAGGGAGAACAGATATTGAGAGATCAGGTAGCTTACCTTTGAGTAAAGGTCAGGGAAAATGGGGGATAGGGGGACACAACCTTCCCCAAGCCACCTTCTGCCAAGGAGATCCATAAACAATCATAACACATAATTTTGAAGAGAACAGAGTTTAATCAGAATTCAGCTCTTCGTGATCTTGCACTATTCTTGAGAGAAGTTTTAAAAAATGTTACCTGTAATAACTGCACCACGTTTGGTGTTTTATTAAACATCTCCTGGAGCTGGTGCAGAATTGTGTTGTGACAGTTACTGCAACCTGAGTTTGGGCCAACAGTTCCCAGTGAAATGTGGAACTTCTGGAGTATGGAGTTCCACTGAATGCTGATCTGCAATGTCAAGAACATAAAATGGTCTTGGAAACTAGAACAACTGTGAGGTTATAAGAAGAGAGCCAGTCTGCTTTATTTTCTTTCCCCATTTTTCATCCAACCTGAACAGATTCCTTCCTCAACTCACCTTCCTCAAAAGTTGCTGAGGCTATGAAAACAAACCCAAAAAGCACTGTTAGCTTTAACATCCACGTAGCTAGCTGGATTCTTGGCAACCACAAAAGTAGGGAATTATTTTAGCAAGTCAACTAAACAGAGAAAAAGCCTTTTCTGCTAAAGGTGAGACAGAATTAAACTCGAGAGATTCACGCTGCAGAGAACCAATGAATGAGTTACGGGAGGTGGGCTGGTTTTCTCAGTCATGTCACACAAACCCAAGAACTGGACATGCGAACACCTAAGAGTGACAGGCAAAATGCACACTGCTACTCTTGCTACTTATTACCTGTCCCAGTATAATGCACACAGAAATACTCTTTTTAAAAAGTTTAGCTTAGAACATGAACACAAAAACCTTCCAGGAAGCAAATTTCAAGCGCATCACCTACTTTGTATCATCTACGCACAAATATGTATTCTTAGTCTGTAATAAACATGCACTTACTTCCTCCTCTACCTGCATTTCAGGCAAGGATGTGAGCAAGTACTCAGTCAGTTATCGAAGTAATTAATAAGCTGTAAATTCAGATACTACAGAGTAAGCTAGAGCTCTGAACAAAGGAACAGCACTGCTACAGAATAATGAAGGACCACCTCATTTCAAAGCACAGTACGACATTTAAAATCTTACGTTACAGCCTTTCCTTCTACGGCAGAAATAGGTACTCAGCTTGCCTATACCCACAGTTCCCTGTACTCCAATGAGCAGTAGCAACACTTATCACAAGTCTGTCGGAAAACAGCTGCCACACCAGCTTTCATCAATCAGGAGCACACAACTCTCCTTTCTGCAATTTAAAGCATCTTATATAAATTCCCCAAAATTCTGAACAACTGGTAACATAGCAAATTAGCAATCTGGCACCCTCTCTTTCTGGCTTTTTTCTACATTCATCAGTATAAATTCCACAATAATGTAACACAAGGAAATATTTTGTAGCACGGTTCCAAGAACTCTAAGCCTACCCATTCTGTTCTTAAACATTTTAAATGCACTCAGGAGTTACTTACTGAGCTCCCCTTGGTAGTTCCATAGCAAAGGATAAGTTTTCTGTAATTGTAGATGCGAACTTCTGAGAAAACGTTTAAGTGGTTGGGTATGTCTTTGAAGAGAGGAGGAAAAAGAGTTAAGGATGAGAAAACCACAGCAATCTGTAAACATGTCATTTTAAGGAGAAGGAGGTGATTTCTGTACCCGGTAAGGATCGTGCAAACTCCAGGACACATTCATATAGCCGAGCGATGCTGTTCCAGTCATTAAGGAACATCTCAACAACTTTGCGACCTCCGACTGGTTCAGATAACTGGTTTTCATATGTCAGGTAAACGTGACGGGTTGGTCCTGCAGTGTGTTAGGAGATGGTAAATACTGATTAAACTAGTGTTTCCTAAACTCTGGTTTACAGACTATGAGTGAACTGTAGCAAGTGGCCAGGAAGTGTATGTAAATAATAAAATAATCAATGCAGCAGTCAAAATTTGATTTCAGGCACACTCTAGCTTATTAGAAATCTTAGGAGCAGACAGCTGTCCAGTAACACCAAAACATTAGAACTACTGGAACAGACCATGTAAACCACAAAACCCCAAATGTACCCATCTCCCTAAACAAAACTCACCTTGCTCCCTGGATGAAGTGCTATTTAGTGGACAGTTCGCAAACACCAGCTCAGCCACCCACGTGCGATTGTTTCTACCTTGTAATCGGAAAGTGCAATCAAGAAGAGATCGGTCCAGAGCCTTCTGCGTTTCCTCGTTTACACCTTTACAGGGAGGAATTCTATTCACAATAAAAGAAAAAAAACCCCAAACTCTATTATACACAGTACACTTCCAAAACTAAAAAATACTACCTTCTAATACTTCCTCAAGGACTTCCAAGTCTGGACATGAAAGAATGAACAAATCAACAGCAAAGACAGCTGGACTGCACAGCGAGATTTCCTATTCCTCTTCAAGGACTGTAATGCGTGCTACGGAAGCATGCTGGGTTAAGACAGATTTTATGTGGATTCAACACCTGCAAATTACAGTCTGTAAAGGGATCTGCTGGACTGCCCTGATCTCATGCTGAAGTAAAACACTCCGATATAAAGCTCTTATACAGAGAAACAAGCTAAATAAGAAGAGAATAAGTTCGTTCTGTGGCAACCTGAATTCACAATCAGTTTGCTTTCTAGAACAAGCTCGCTCTAAATGCAATGAACAACCTGGCAGTTATCTTAGTACCTACTAATTTATTCATATCCCAAGGGGAGAATTGAGCTCAGGGAACAGACTAAATAAAGCTTAAGTAAAAACATGCCAAACTCTTTTTTTCAAATCCCTTGAGAGTCTATCCAGAAATTTCATGTACCACCCTTAACTTCAGCTCACAAGTTCTTTCCTAGTACTCCTCTGCTTATATGCAAAGTTAAACAGGTAGGGCCTGATGCATTTAGACTGATGCCTTTACATCACTACACATTCCTGCAGCATAAAAAAAGTTAAGAAAGTTTTACTGTAGAAGGCATCTTTTCAGGGTTTTTTAAAAATGTTTTGAAATGGTAAAATCTGGTTTACTTCATAACACAATCCAAAGTTCAACCAGTGAGGGTTGAAGTAGGCTCCAAGAAGTGTGAAAAACTGGCTGGACTGCCAGGTAGAAAGCACTGTGGTCAATAGTAGCAGGTTCAACTAGTGGCTGGTGGTGGTTGGCATTCCTCAGGGTTAACAGAGGCCAATACTATTTCAATAACTTAGGTGATGCAAAGGCATAGCAAGTTTGTAGCTGACAGCAAACTGCAGGGAGCACAGGGCTGCCATTCAGAGAGACCTCAGATGGCTGGAGGTACGAGTTAACGGGAACCTCACTAAGTTTAACGCAAACAAATGCAAAGTCCTGCACTTGGGCCTAAATAACCTCAAGCAACAGCACAGAGTGACCGGGTGGACAACAGCTCTGTAGAAAAAGCACCTGGGGGCCTGGGAGACCGACCGAACAGGAGTCAGCAGCGTACCCTCGCAGCAATGACGTACTGCTGCACCCCAGGCTGTTTTAGCCAAGCAGTTGAGTGACTACTCCCCTCTAGTCGGCATTTGAGATCGCTGTGCCCAGGGAGGGCACAAAAACCCTCTGAGATTGGAAAACGCAGCTGATCAACCCTGCTCTGAGCAGAAGATTGAACCAGATGACCCCCACAGGTCCCCTCCACTCTTAAATTACTGTATGATTCTCAGATGTTTCCTCTGCAAGTTTTTTTTTTTACCATGCAATTGTCTTTTCTGAGATTCTTTGCATTTTCCTTGGCAGTATCAAATACCGATAATTGTCAAATAGCATATAGAGTATGTAGGCCTCTGATCTGATCTAAAATTGCAGTTACATGTTCATGAATCATCACCATATCTTCCTTAGCACTGCCTGGATTTTAGGATTGAGAACTGTCAGACTGTTCTCAGAGCTTCCCAGTCTAGGCTAATAAAAGAAACAAATTAGAGTTGGTGCTCTGTCTATTCCCATTTGTCTCTTCCCGCAGCACTGCTGCACACAAGAGTGCAAGAAACAATAATTAAAAAAATAAAAAACAAACCCAAAAAACCCCCAAAAACCTCAAACCCAAAAATCCCCCCCTGCCCTGATATTTTTAGCATTATTCTCCAAACAATCCTTTTCTTCTCTCAAGCATATGTACACTAATAAAATTAAACACAGAGCATATCCTCTTACTTTAGTAAACGTATTGCATGGCTGAAGCCATCTCCTTCTACTTGTACTCCTTGGTGAGGAATGTCCATATTAGATAACTAGGAACAAACAAGAAAAATGTTATCCCAAGCAAAATGTAAAGCGGAATAATTGTCATTTTTTTTCCAAGGATTTTTTCCACCCTAAGGGTGACAGATGTTTCACATCCTAAAGCACTGGAAAGCCAAAAAAGAGCCTGTACAAATCTGGCATAAAGTTGTCTCCCATGCCCTCCCACAAGCGTGTCTTTCATGCTCTCGTTTTCCCTTTTCCCTCAACTTTTCAGGCTTCTGGCAGTGCTTGGCATTAGAGAACCAGCTACGACAAGACTAGAGCAACCCAGCGTAGAACATCAGTCACCCGGGCTCAGCTGGTGCAAACTCCAAAGTGAACACAGGACCACAAGTTTGCTGAATAGCTGCAACTAGACAAGAGAATCACCAGTTGCCCAGGGGAAGAAAGAAGCAAAGTACTGTTGAATACATACCTCCATTCGAAGCCCTATAAACGGCATATTTGTATCACACATGGCTACAATATGAGCTAGCACTTTGTTGAAGGCACACATTTCTCCTGACCGTTTCGGTTTCTTAGGTTCTATGGAACATGGATCACCAGATAACTAGAATAAAAATAAAGACCAATGTACTTGCATGTTTGGAGTAAACGTTCTGAAAAGACGTCAGAGGATAATCTCATTCATCCAAGTTTCAAATGAATCACATCCTGAGCACAAGCTGCCTGAAAGGAACTGGTCCACTTCAGGACTGCAGCAATTCAGTTAAAGTAAGTTTATAATCACTTCTCTCCTTAAAACAGTATTTAAATATCACTAAGCCATGTCAGCCTGACTCCAAGAAGTAACTCTTATCAGCCCCTGCAAGTCTTTCAAAGGCTACACCTACACGAAACACAAAAAATACCACGCAGATACCAGCGCTCTGCGTATGCAAGCTACTCCAGCTACCTCAGCACAGGACTCTGCCTTGGCTCTTCAGAGCAGCTGAGAAGGCCTGGCATGAATTAAAAGACAACTGTTGCAAAAGAGTTTCCCAGCACCTCCCTAGGGAAGGAGTGCAGAGAACCAAGCCGCACTACAAGAAAGATGTCAGCCACACGAGCTTCTGCAACAAAACTACCAAAGCTGGTATTGATGCTCATGAGTTGGTCTTAACTAGCCTGATGGCTTCTTGAAGCACATACCTTGCGCTTGACACCACTTTTCATTTGTTTCCCACTTTTTGGGTCTAGTACCAAATCTTCAATGTTGGGTTTGAACTGCTGTAGTAAAAGTGCAGTAGCAGGGCTGTCATCTCCTTCAGCATAGCTCACAGAGAGGAAATGGTACTTGTACTCTAGTTCTGTGGGGTTGCCAGGAACATCAAACATCTCTACAACCTACATTTAAACAAAACAACAAATTGAGAAGACCCTCAACATAAGAATATGTCTATATTAGTTCCTATCCCCTCTCCCCCCGCAAGAAGAGACATTAATCTTTTCCAAGATATTAACACTTGGAAATAGTGTTAGGAAAGGAAAGGGATCCAAGAAGGAAGACTTTAAAATTAGGAAACATAAAGGGAATGGTAAGGTGCCGAGTAATAAACCTTTACGTCCCCTCCTCTCCATAAGCCTGACTGCTTAAAAACCCCAATGGATGACAGAAGGGAGGGAGTGGGGAGAGTCGAGGATTACACCAGTCACTTGGTTCCTAATGTTAGAGTTAACAGTATCACAGACAAACTGCCTGATGTATCCATGACCAGGAGCAGAAGACAGAACTGTTTTTCAGTTACTTACAATGTAGTACTGCGGAAGGCGAGTGAGTCTGATAAACAATTTGTGTTTGGAAAGGCTTCCCACCGGATGGCTAGCATAATTAGCTAGCTGAAGAGTTTCACTGCTCACCGTTGGCAGATGTTTTATAGACTGTTTGCAACGCTGCTGTCCAAGCCAGAACCTTGCATTGAAACAAAGGTATTAGTACCCTGAGGCCCATTATTCTAGTTTACTGCTGTTTAGAGCATTAGTGTTAAATTAGGAGTCAGTCATATTCTAAGACAACACCTATTCTTGCTGTGCAAGTTAGATATGCAGAAAACCACGCAGAAAGTTTCATGAGTTTATATTTTCTGATCACTATCTTTACATATTGTCTTCGGCCTGAGTAACAGACAGGTGTTAATTTAAAAAGAAAAGCTCTGAAATTAGTTGCTGAAGGAATAAATAAATAAATTTTCATACACCACAGCACAACTTACAATATAAAAAAGAAGGGACAAATCAAATACACAGATTACAGTTATTTTCAATTTGGAATCTTTGATTATTTTTTGGCATAGAAAAGAAGATCTTTGCTCCCATATGCTGGTAAGCAATCCAGTAAAAAAAAAAGTCACTAAAGCTAGATGTCACTCTGGGTTATGTTATAAACAAACTCATTCACCTGAATAAGTCTGGACACGAAGAACCACATGCAATACACCGAATTTATTCTAATGTTTGGAATTAAACTTTGTCCCTCTCCAACGGACTTTGGCTGCAGTGGCAAGGCCAGAAAGCCTAGCTCAGCTTGAAAGGGGTTCAGAAACGTGTGGCTTGGGTTTTCAGTCAAACTTCCGCTGAAAACAGCAGTGGAAAGTGTGGGCGTTCAGCATCTCTCCATCACGACACACCATGTTTGTTCGTGTAGCTACATATTAGATATCGCTGTCCTAAGAGGCATTTCGTGGGACTGCATAGCTTCCTCAAAAACCGCAGCGCTACCCAAGCCATTATCTCGAGTACATTACTTAGAACCCAGGGAGGTTGATTAGTATCTCCAGGGTGCCAGTGCTTCATGCGTCATCCTGTTTCTTTTAGAAGCAAAATTCCTCAAATAGAGGTTTCACCCTGCAATTAGCCCAGAGTACTGGGAATTTCCAAAGCGACAGAGCAGGTGGAACTCAGTTTTCATGCAGATGCAAAATGTTTTTGTGTTATTTGCTACAACCTCTTATGGGAGCCAAATATATCTTGTGCTTAAATCTCAGGGATTTATGGAAGGAAGATTAGAGGTTTAAACCAGCAAGGGCTGAAGTGTTAGAAGATAAACAGATATTATTTAAATCATCCTAGGCCACTTCCTGGTTTTTCCTCTGTACTGTGAGAAGGGAGGTTGTTCTTGCTGAGAAAGAAGCAGAGTTCAGCTGTAGAAACAGAGTGGAATACAGGAGATAGAAAATGAACATGAACACAAATGAGAACCTCAGGAAGCAAGTGGTCTGCTGCTGCCTTACAAGTGAAAAGACTTTACGCAGAACGTGCACAGAGCAGTGCATGAGGCTACGTGTAAGGGGGCAAGGCTAAAGAACTACGGCATCAGCTACAAGCAAAAGCAGAATTTCCTCCACCCATTAAGAGGGGACAGCAAATACTCAAGGTTGGTTAGATCAGCCACAAAAGCCACGCGAGCGTGATCATTCAAAATACAAACATAGTGATTCACTCTATGCAAACTGCAGCGAATCATTCAATTCACTTACTTGAGCTGCTGGAGCCAAGGAACGATACGTTTCATATCATCATTAACAGACTTCTCTATGTCATCGAGTGTCAGCTGATCTGCAAGAACATGAGGTGAGCAAATGGTCTTAACACCTGCTCTTCAAACAAAATTTTGACCTAAGTGTTTGATTTAATTTAACGAACAATTAATCACAGAATCATAGAACAGCCCAGGGTGGAAGGGACCTTGAAAGATCATCTGGTCCCACCTTTCGTGGGAAAGGGAGCCCCGATGAAGTTATCTAGCACCCTGGCCAACTGCATCTTGAAAACCTCCTAGAAGAACTGAAGTAAAAGACAAGAAGGAGGCGAGTTCTTAAGTAATCCGAAACCTGTAGTTCAGACTTGAACAGTAACTCAAGATGTATAAGGTCACATAACACAATTCTCAACCAGGTCCATATGAAATGACTGCACCCCTTGACAGCACAGCCCAGGAATCAGGAGTCAAATAATACACATTGCAGCAGTATAACAACATTTGCTCTGTTGTCCTCTTAGAATATACGCAACTGAACTGTGACTCAAGCACAAATATCCACTTCTCCCTTTCTCAAACGTGAACACCCCACTTGGGTCAGCACCTTGGTATTTATTTGCACTACCCTTATTTACCTACAGAACTTCACAGATTTGACAGAACTGTTCACACAGAATTACCCCATTAACCAGGATCCTTGGGAGATCTTAAACAGAGCCTGGGTTTGTACCTACTTACCAACACCATACAGCATCAGTTGAAACATTCCAGAGTGGAGATCAACAAATACATGCAGGCACTCTGATCGACCACATGGTTCCAAAATCGGAATTACAAGAGTTGGAAGAGCCGTTTCAATGAATGCTAAACAAAAATGGATGTTACTGATTTGACACAAAATTCAAGCTCATCATATGAAAACTTAGCCCATCATAATCACAAAACCTATTACTTTTTATAGAAGCAATCTTCACTTGCACGTTATTACACTAACAAAGAGGTAACTGAATATAGAAGTTTATCGGAAAATAGTGCTAGTAACAAGCTAACAAGGACAGACAAACCAAATTTGAAGGAGATTATTAATCCTTGAATATCTTTTAACTCACTGCCTCACAATTATAAGATCAATTCAAATCCCAAGAGTTTCAACAACAGTTTAAGCAGTCTCATCCAAATCTTGCTCAAGACAGTGAAGGACATTCTTTCAGTTCTGAACATGTACAGGTTTTAACCCTTCAACCCAGACTATAACGCTCTGCCAGCTTCATCAATTAGACTGCATCTAGAGGCATGACTATTTTACTATTATATATGCAGAAAACATAAAGCTAAGTCTTGTTAATTCTGAACACATCCCCTTTTATTCTTTTCGTATTTTTAATTTAAATTAATGGAAACAAGAAATGTCAAGAAAAAAAGAAACCATTCCCAGGCACAAGTGGAAATTAATTGGAAACGATCTTCAGTAGAAAACACATACAATTATCATTAATGTTGTAGCTCTTCAGAATGGCTTTCAGCTCCTGGAGTTTTTGATGAGATCTTGCATGGACACTGTCTATTAGGAGTTTTTCTATTGATAGGTGGTCAATCTGTAAAAAAGGAACATACCTGAGCAAGTTCGAATTTGATGTGCAGACTCTATGCATTAGCACACTAGAACAAAGCTACTTATAGTCGCTTCAGAAAGAATTTGCTTAGAACTGTGGTGAACCAAACAAACAATTAACTTGAATATTTGTATCACTATAAAATACAACAGACTAACATAAGACTCTGTGCAGCAGGCAGTGGAAGAGTTTTTGAGAGAAGACTAGAAGATAATGTAAAAGAAGTTTCATAAGCTGTGCTGTTACAACTCCCTGTGCAGACCTACTTGCTTTGGATCAAGGGTGGAGTATTTTCCAGCTTAGCACACACCTATTTATAACTAGCTGAAGCTAAGGGGAAAAAAGCCCCAAACAACCCACCCCCAAAAATACACTCTATTAGAATATGGTTGCCTCTACACAAACACTATGTAGCTGCAGCATGAAATACAACACCTGCTAACACTGTAACAATGCAATGAAGACAGAGTGGCAGACACAATATCCGCAATCCTCCTGAACACAGGAGTATCGAGGCTTGTCTCTAGAGGCTGTTGCACTGCCAGTGCTTAAGTTTATGCCACCACTTATATTCACTGTAGCTTACTTGTGCAACCTAAATGAAAGTATTTGCATTTATATCCATTCACATTACAGTCATGTTATTTACATACAGAACCATGGAATGGTTTGGG